GGTGAAATGTGTTGTGTGTTTTTTCAGATTAAATAAATTGAATAAAAACTTTTTTAAATAGGGAATTGTCACTATTAAAAAAGAGCAAAAAATAAAATCCTACCTGTCAGGCATCAGCCTGTCCTAACAACCAGCATCTTCACCCTGATGTCTACTATGAAATATCCACAGGTCAATGGAGGCAGGGATGGGGGTGAGTGTATTGATCTGATGACCCGATCCTCATAGGAGAGACCCCACTCACCACCACTGCTTTCCTGGCTCATCGTTCTTGTTCTTCCAACATTGGTCATCTCTGAATGTAGATGGTAGTGAAGGGTAGGATCACCTGACCTTCCTACATGTGTCATAGCAAATTCTGGTACTGTAGGTATTACTTGTGGACTCCTGGCTATGAGTCAAGTCAGTACCTCATGGAATGACTTTGAAAGTTCATATGCCAAGAAACCCTAGCTTAAAAATGGAGAGAAAAACTCAGTACTTTCTCCTCATTCATTTATATACAGAACAGATGAACATAGAAGCCTTCTGTGAAGCAGTGCTTGAGCAAAGAAGAGCAGTAATGTGTATGTGATTTTATGCCACTTGCTTAGCTATTTGAGCTAATGATCCTCAATCTTTTAAGGTTTGTTGTTTTTTTTTTTTTTAGCCTAAGTTCCTGATTTAAACAATAAATGAGTTATACTATTTCCAAGATACCGTCTAAGTAGAATTTCTATAAATCTATGATTAAAACATTTTTCTTTGCCAAAATAGTGTTAAATAGTAAAACACCATTACATCAAAGCTTGTTATTACCCAGATATTAATATTTATAAGATATAATTAATTCCCTTGAAATATATCAAACATATGAAACAAACATGGATTGTAACACAGAAAAAAAATAATATACATGTGTCCTACCTACATTTTTATAGTAATAAAAGCAGGGGTTTTAGAGTCAGATAAACCAGCTTTAAATCCTGGCTTGACCAATTAGTTCTGTAACCCTGGACAGATTACTTAAACTCTCTGGGATTTAGTTTATTATTTGTAAAATGGGAATACTATTACTTAACCTTTTAGAGTTGCTGTGAGGTTTAAATTAATCTACACAGTACAAACAGTAAATGTCTAATTTCACTTTTCCTCCATGACTTATGCACACTGTTTCTTCTGAAGGGAATACCTTTCTCCCTCATCTCTACTTGGTACACTCTTACTCTTCTTTAAGACCCAGTTAAATGCCACTTGTTACTCTGATCCAAAAATTATACTTCTAGGTTTCTATTCTAGTAAAATGCTTGTACATATACACACAGAGGTAGGTACAATGATAATTATGGATAGTCTTTTTATAATAAAAATTTGGAAACCAAAATGTTCATCAACAGGGGACTAAATAAATAAACTGGTTATTCATACTATGGAATATATGCAGTGTTTAAAAGAGTTATATGTATTGTCATAAAAAACTGAATACATAACAGAAAAAAATTACAGAAAAATATGCACTGTAAATCACATTATCCTATATAATAAAAGCCCAGCAACCATAACAGCAGAACAACCACTCAACCAGTCACTATGAGGTGCACAGACCACCTCTTGGTCCCTTTCCCTGGCCGGCAGGCTCTATTGCCCGATGGTGAACGGGGCCCCGGGGGTGGGTGGCAGGGGATGCAGGGTCCCCAGGCCAAGCCCCCCGCCCCGCTGGTTGCCCCACACACAGAGGGCGACCCACGGCAGAGGTGGGGCTGGCGAGTGGGCAGGAACGGCCGACCTCTGGGTTCCTCCCCTCAGCCGGCAGGCTCCCATCGCCCCATGGCAAACAGGGAACCACAGTGAGTGGTGGGGTGGGGTGGGGCAGGACTGGCAAGCGGGTGGACCCCGGCAGTCAGGCTCCAATCGTCCTATGGCTAATGGGGAACGGTGGTGGGTGGGTGGCAGGGGATGCGGGTGGCCCCAGGCCAAGGCCCCTGCCCCACCGGTCCAGGGGTGGGGTGGGTGAGCGGGCAGGAACAGCTGACCTCTCAGTCCCTCCTCTCCAGCTGTCAGGTTCCCATTGCCTGATGGCAAACTGGGAACCCGGGTGAGTGGCAGCGGGGGGGCGGAGTGGCTGCTGGCAGCTGGGAAAGATGGCCCTGCTCAAAGGCTAGGCCTAGGGACTATACCCACGCACGATTTCGTGCGGTGGGCCTCTAGTAATATAAATAATATATAAAATGTGATTTATAACATAGAGTTCTATTGTATGTAACATATATATGTAGTATTTTAAAAATATATTTTTATTGATTTCAGAGAGGAGAGGGAAAGGGAGAAACATCAATGATGAGAGAGAATCATCAATTGGCTGCCTCCTGCACACCCCAAACTGAGGATGGAGCCTGCAACCTGGGCATGTGCCCTGATGGGGAATCAAACCATGACCTCCTGGTTCATAGGTTGAGGCTCAACCACTGAGCCACGCCGGCCGGGCATATATGCAGTATGTTATGTGTATATTTATTTATGTATACTCATAGAAAACTGTTTAGAAAGATTGATAACAAACCATATCTGGGGAGGAGAGTGGGATGGGAAGTCGTATAAAGGACACCCATGCTGTGCTTTATTATTTTAATATAATCAAAATATAATCATGTATTACTACTAGAATTTTTAAATGAAAAGGCACCTTTTCTCAAACTTTTCCCAACTCTGGTAGAGTCAGTTGTTCTTTCCATTGCAGTCTCACTAGACTGGGCTGTGTGTGTTGACTGTGTACTTGTGTCTATCTGCCCACAAATGGTAGAGAACTGTAGAGGCTGTATCCCCAGGAGGCCTGGCTGAGAAGGTGCTCAATAAATAACTGTTGAACAAAGGTAAAACCAAGCTACAAAGAATCTGCATAGAAAAAACACACATCATAAACCGAAGGATGTCCCAACAGTTAAAATGGAATACTTGAGCCCTGACTGGTTTAGCTCAGTGGATAGAGCGTCAGCCTGCGGACTGAAGGGTCCCAGGTTCGATTCCAGTCAAGGGAATGTACCTTGGTTGCGGGCACATCCCCAGTGGGAGGTGTGCAGGAGGCAGCTGATCGATGTTTCTAATTATCCCTCTACCTCTCTGTAAAAAAAATCAATAAAATATATTTTTAAAAAATAAAATAAATAATCATTGTCAAGTTGCTTCTTACTGGGTGTTCTTTAAAAAAAAAAATGGAATACTTGAGAAGGGGAGGGGGAGATGGAGGGGGAGGGGAAGAGGCAGTGGTATGCCGGGCCCCTGTACCTGCGTCCACAAATAACAGTTGTTGCCAAAGGAGAGGCAGCATATAAAGCGAAGAGAAGGAATGGAGGCTGGCTCTGAGTCCTAGACCTAACACCACGCACTACCTTTGCTCTGTCTTCTCTTTCGCCATCTGTAAAACCAGGGTGGCACTTTTAGAGCTCTAACTGCTGTAATTCTAGGTGAACGTCCACCGAGCTATCAGCACTGTAAGTGGAACTCAAGGCTGGGCTCGTCATTGCGTCTCTCCCGCTGGCTCGCTTCCCGGGATCGCGAACGGCCTTTATTAGTCAAGCACCAGTATGTTTACAAGTGCCTTCCCCGCGAGCTCCCAGGCGCAATGTGTGCTCCTCTCCCTGCGTCCCCAGAGCAGCCCCAGGCCCCAGTAACGCGGGATCTGCGGGAACAAGAACTGTAGGGCGCTACACCCCCAGGTGCCGAGAGGTACGGTGTCACTTTTCAGGGGTGTCTAAAGAAGCGAGCGCCCCACCATCCCTTTCCTTCCCTGCCCTTCCCGGGGACCCGAGGTTAGGCGCTCCTCCACGCCCCACCGACCGCCTAGCTCACCCCGCAGCGCAGGCGCCGCGGACCCGAAGACCGCGCGGCGCGCACCCGCGAGCAGCAACCTCTGCAGCGGCATCGCGGGCTGGCGCAGCCCGACCCCCGGCTCCTGACCACTTCCTCCTCCTGCTCCGCCTCCTCTACCGGTCGCCCCGGCCAACCGGGTCGGGCTCTTGAGCGCCCCCCAGCCAGGTGCCGGCCGAACCGGGCAGTGCCACAAGGCCTAATCGCTGACCCACACCTGTCCCACTTTAGCATTTAAAATCCTTTGGAAACTGGCTGGTGTGGCTCAGGGCTTGAGCGTCACCCATGAGCCAGGAAGACGGTTCCATTCCCGGTCAGGGCATATGTCGGGGTTGTGGACTCATCCCCAGTAGGGGGCGTGCAGGAGGCAGCCCATGATGTTTCTGTCCCTCTCTCTTCTCTCTGAAATCAATAAAAACATTTAGAAAAAGAAATCCTTTGGAAAGAAACTAATTTAATTTTTATTAAGGAAAGATAAAGTTTAAAAGTAAATACATGCATAACCCATGGACAGACAATAGTGCGGTGAAGACCTGGGGAGGGGGCGGGCCTGGGTGGGGAAGGGGTCAATTGGGGGAAAAAGAGGACATCTGTAATACTACTTTCAACAATAAAGATAAATTAAAAATAAACAAATAAGAAGTAAATAAGTTGTATTAATAAAAGCAAAAAAACATAGAAAGTAAGAAATATACCAAAGATAATATTTAAAGATTTAAATACATTTCTCCAATTTGCTTCAACGGGATTCTAATATTATAGATTAAAGCAAACTACGTGGAGGTTTTTCTCAGAATTGCTCTTGGCTCCAATAGTTCAACTGATTCGAGTGTTAAGATAATCTCATGCTGTCATCTTTTTTCCACCACTTGCTGATATTTGATTATATTTGGTGATAACTTTGTCAGGGTTAGGGTGCAACTGCTTTTTAAAAATGTGTTAGTTTCCAATTGTTACTGTAATACATCACCACAAGTTTGCTGGCTTAAGACAATACAAATTTATTATTATTCAGTTATATAGGTCAGCAGTCTCACATGGCTAAAATTAAGGTGTCATCAAGCCTGTGTTCCTTCTGAAGGCTCTAGGCGAGAATTTCTTTCCCATCTACGAGAGCAAGCATGTCAAACTCGCGGCCCGTGGGCTACACATGGCCCACAATGAATATTTCTGCAGCCCAGCCAACATAACAGTAAGTAAGAAACTTTTTAAAATATATATATTTTACTGATTTTTTAGAGAAGAAGGGAGAGGGATAGAGAGTTAGAAACATCGATGAGAGAGAAACATTGATCAGCTGCCTCCTGCACACCCCCTACTGGGGATATGCCTGCAACCAAGGTACATGCCCTTGACAGGAATCGAACCTGGGACCCTTCAGTCCACAGGCCGACACGCTATCCACTGAGCCAAACCGGTTAGGGCTGTAAGAAATGTTTTAATAAAAATTTTGTAACTTAATTTTTACAATATCCTGTTATACATAATTATTAATAACGAACTACAATGTTCGCTAATGACAGATTACTATAATGTTGCATTCATTTCCCTTTTTCGCCTTACATGCAGGTGCACCATTTCTCTCCACTAATACTAGCAGCGAATATTTTAAAAGCCGATTGCTACATCATTAGTCTTGGACTGACTTGTTTGGTGTGCGTAACAGGAAATATTTTGCTTTCGGAGAAGAAGAAAAATAGGTTTATTTGCGTTACACTTATTAATTTGTGTAGTAATTCAGTGTCTGGTAAGTTAATGTTCAAGAAAAAATATTAATTTTTATTAAAATGTTCTATTATTTTATGTTAGCGATTACTCATTTATTTCAGCCCTTTGTATTCAGCTGTCTCTATCGAAATAAACCTACGTTTCTATGAAAATTGAAGCTTTTGTTTTTTTGCGGCCCACATAAACTTAAACCTTGTTTATCTGGCCTGTGTTAGCCTTTGAGTTTGACATGCTTGTAGAGGCCGCCCGCATTCCTTGGCTAGTGGTCCCCTTTCCCATCCTCAAAGCCAGCAGTTTAGCATCTTCAAATTTCTCTCTAAGTGTGACCTGCTTCTGTTGTACATCCCTTCTTTTCCTCTGATCCTCTTGCCTCCCTTTTTTTCTTGTTTTTTATTTTTTTATCTTTGTTAATCCTCACCAGAGGATATTTTTCCATTGATTTTTAGAGAGAGTAGAGGGGAGAGGAAAAGATAGAGAGAAACATCGATGTGTCTCAGATCGATTGGTTGCCTCTGGCAGACACCCTGACCAGGGCCTGATGGAGCCTGCAACCAAGATCCGTGATCTTGACCGGAATTGAACCCGGGACTCTTCTGTCAGCAGGCAAATGCTCTATCCACTGATAGAGCCTTTTATAAGGACCTTTGTCCTTACACTGGGACCACTCAGATAATCCAGGATAACCTCCCATCTTAAGATTCTTAATTTAGTCATATCTGCAAAGTCCTTTTGCCATGTAAGGTAACATACTGACAGGTTTCAGGAATTAGACCACCTTGGGGGGGGGGGGGGGGCGCATTATTCAGCCTATCACATAAAGTTTCTTATTATCTTGTTTTAAATTTAGTCTTAACTTGGGTTCCAAGCATACTTGGAACTATATTAAGAAAGCTATACTTAACTGTGAATTTATTCACAGAAGGAATTTAAAAATTAATGTCTAAATGGAATTATTAGTGTCCAAGCACCCACATCTTTATAAATGCCTTCCCATGTTAATTTCATTAAACATGTACTTTTCAATTGTTCCATTTTCAATAATTTAATAATTATTAAAACCACTTCAGATTTCTATGCCAATAACATCACTTACGATTATGTTTTTCCAAATCATTTGGATCTTAACCATAGTCTCTATGTAATCTATTTGGTGGATTAACTTTGAACCAAGATGTTATTATATATTGCAGATTCATGTACTCTCCATGGCATCCCCAAGCTGTCTTGAATATGCATTATAAACTACCAGTTGTATGGACACAGACATGAAAACAATGTACATGTCTCCATGAATCACATTTAATGATTTATGCTTTGGCAAGAGCACACGTTACTAAACAGCTTTTTCCTAATGTTTATGACTAATTATTTGAGAAATATGTTTCTGTAAGACTTTTTTTCTGAAAAGGTGAATGTGTCCTTTCATATCTAGCACAGTGCCAAACTTGGTTTATTTAAGAATTCTTAGAGCATAAAGATCTTGTCAAAAGAGATTGCTCCTCAGACGAGTGTCAAAGTTCTTCCTTCAGAGAGAGTTAGCAAGGCTTAAAGTGGGATGAAAGGGAAAGAAATCATTTAACTTTCTGGGAGAGGACTACTAATGCTAAGTTGATATGAACGATTAATTTTCAAACAACTCATTTTCTTTTCTCTTTCTTTGCTCCTTTGGGGGGGGCATAAGACAAGTGGGAAGGAAGGGATTATTAAAAAGAGTTGAGATTTTTCTCATTTCTTTCTAAATCCACTTCAAGCCCCTAGATATTTTTTTAATCAAGTGAAGAATTAGGAAATGTTTTGCCTTTCATACAACTTCTTTCAAAAGAGTTTCTATCAAAAATTAAAATTGAAATCAATCTGTTGGCTCAGCATTTCCACTGTTAATAGTCTACAGAAAACATTTCCACAAGTAGGCAAGGAAAAATGTACATTCATAAGGGAATAATTGGAGAGGGAAAAAAAGTGATACATCCATTCACTGATAAAAGAATGAGGCTACCATGGAAATATGTCCAAGATATACTGTCAGGTGAAAAAAATCAAGTGTGAAGTAGAGTGTAGACTTTAATGTAATCCGTGTTCTCTTTTAACAAATGGTAATTATATAAAAATATGGTTTCCATACACAATGTAAACATTTAGTAATCTCCTTAACCAAATTCCCTACATGGAAATAATTTTTATTTCATAAGAAATGAATTGGAGTTTTGTTGTTGTTATGTTTTGGTTTATCTCTAATATCTTTTGACTCTTAATCCAAGGCTCTATTCATAAGGCCAAACGTGACCTGTGCTGAAGAACCTGGAAAGATTACAAGACTTGTAGAGCTTATCCATAACTGGCATTAATGTTTGCAGTATCATTCTGATGCCGGAGGGCTCACAGGGAGGCCAAGGGAGGCCTCACCCCAGTGACAGTGTCCAGGTTCTTGTCACTGGGCAGGAAAAAATTCAAGAGCGAGACAGAGAGATTAAACAAAGCACAGAAGATTTATTAAGGTGACAGTACACTCTCAAGAAGGAGTAGAGTGCGGGCCAACTCAGGAAGTGAGTCGCACCCATGGAGTCTGGGTGGAGGTTTCTACCATAGCAAGGGGAGGGAATGGAGGTGGCTAGTGGTCTCTGACGCTGGGGGTGGGGGTCGGGGTGTTCGTTGTGCAACTCATCTCAGTCCCTCCTCTCTGGATGGGGGGTTTCTGGAGGGTAGAGTGGCCTCAAAACTAGGCCCCAAAACTAAGATGTAGGTCAACGTGACTGCTAATTCTGGCTGAGACTAGTTTTCGTTTGTCTCAACTATTTTTAAAAAAAATACATTTTTATTGATTTCAGAGAGAGAGAGAGAGAGAGAGAGAGAGAGAAACATCAGTGATGAGAGAGGATCATTGATCGGCTGTCTCCTACACGCCCCCTACTGGGGATTGAGCCCGCAACCTGGACATGTGCCCTGGACCAGAACCGTACCCAGGACCCTACAGTCCGCAGGCTCTATCTACTGAGCCAAACCCGCTAGGGCCATCTCAACTATTTCTTACCCAAACAAGTGGGAAGGGGGTCAGTAAGGGGACAGGTGTCTGGCCACAAGTCAACCTGTAGTGCCCTAACCTAGAAGGGGAGGGGAGGGATAGAACCTGGGGCTTCTGCTCCCTTGCTTCAGTTCAATGGAAATATTTCCAAACCAGCTACGTTTACTAAGCATATGCAATATGCAGGCCACTTTAACGGGTAATCTAAATTTCAAGAGGTATAGGTGTAGATCAAGAAGTTTCCTGTCCAGAAAGGAAATAAGAAAGATAAGACAATCACAATGAAAAAAAGCAAGGTCATGTATGATGGGTGTCAGATGTGACTTGGTTGTACAGTGTGACGAGGAAAGGAAGAGCCTGTCCCAACAGGTGCGCAGCAACAAGGGAGATTGAATCCCGACCCTGGGAAGACCGAGCTGTGCACTCCAGGCTGCTATTCGAATCCCAACGGGAGCCCAGCGCTATTATTTGAAGATCAGCGGGCGCCCACCGGCTCTGCCCAAGGAGGGAACGCAGGCCTTACAGCGCCCTCCCTGCC